GGCATAAAGTGCTGGACCCACATTTTTAGGCAGCATTCAGAACTCATTGGGTGAGTTGGTCACCATTATGCCAGGCCACCCTAAATTCCCAGAACATTGTCTAGCACCCATTTTAGGCTGGGTCTATCTGGCAGCCAATGCAAATTTATTGTTATCTATCTAAAAAAAAAGGTAAAGTCGGGAGATATGAACCAGTGTCGCTGCACACGGTTATAAACCATAAGTGCTCTGCCACCAGTACGGACAGCTGATAAGAAACTGTCCGCCTGTGTCGCCGTCCGCATGCAACTCCGTAGCTACAGCGACGTTCCTCCATTTACCCCAGAGTGTTAACTTTGGTAACAATTTCCTAGAGTCTGGCTGAACTCCGGAAACCGGCCTTGGACTGCAGCCAGTTGCAGCTGGATTTGAAAGTGAATCTCCCATCAACTGTGCTGACGTGTACCCCTTATCAATCTTGATTCAGAGCTGAATCCTTGATCTTTGGGGTGGCAGCATCTAAACTGCGATGCAACTGAGGTTTCAAAAGCAGAGGGATACTGAATACACATTTATTATAGCTGAGAGTAATAACACCAACATTAAGTAACATGCAACATTCTTTATTTATATAAAATCAAATAAGAAAAAACCAGAATGACACAGAACACTTTATTTTGTTCATAAGCTCTTCTAAAAATGTATTTTTAACATAAAAAAATTATTGTATATTTTTACCATTACAAACATAACAAAGATTATTTAAAATACAACAAAAGCAAGTGCACCATGAAATATCATGAGAGCTATTTTATAAACAAATGTTTACTTCACAGGAATGTTAGCTTAACAAAAGTAACATCACATCAAAGTGCAGTCAACCTCCTCACATGAAAGAAAAAGACCATTATATTTAGACTACATAGGAGACACAACAGACTCTACAGCCTTATCATCATCATGTAGCAGGTCCTTTGCAGAACGTCGCTCTCATCACGGTCTGCCTGAAAGTGACTCGGTCTCTCGCCAGCTCTCCTGCCTCATGCACTTTCATACTCAAGGAGTCACTTATACCCTGTGCCCATCTTCGTGTTGGTCGGCCCCTGTCCCTCCTTCCTGGTACCATGCCCTCTGCTATAATTTTTTCCAATCCATCGTAGCGCTTGATATGACCAAAATATTTCAGCTTCCGAGGCAGGATGCTATTTATTAGCTAATCTTTCTTGATGCTCAGGTCTTTCTCCTGTTTTTCGTCTAAGATATTCTGAGAATCTTTCTACAGCCGATGTACAAGAAATTCAAGAGTGGGAGTTCAGAACTGCGTCCATATGGACAGGCACCATAGAATAGGCAACCTGTGCTTCAGTCATGCTATCTTCATGTAGCAGAGAGACCCAGTGTTTGGCCGGTTGGGATTCCAATGGAAACCAAGCTACATGGAACAGTGGAAGACATGCATCGCTCCACAGACTTCATAGAGGCTTGTGGCCTTCTCACTTGAGAACCAGTGGCAGGGAGAAGATAAAGAAGAAGAAGATGATGACATCAAAGTACAAAGTAAAGGAGCATTTTCTTGCCAGGAGACAACGGTCATTCAGTTCTAGATCAATTTTATTTATAGACTAATTTGCATTTGATGGGAGATGTGGTCAACATCATACTGGTCTCCTTTACTTTCCATGACTTTTCCTGATACTTACTTTAACAAGAACCGACCTGGTAGCTAAGGTCAATTATAACAATCTGTTTGTTTCCACCAGCACGCATGGGTCTAGTTGTGTGCTAGCAACATATCAAAAACACAAATATATATATAATTCTAAGGAGTTCAGTAAATGATTAAACATAGGAAGTCCAGTGCCTTGCACTTAGGGTGGCTTGCATCTCTTCATAAGACTCAGATTGTGGATTTCTTTGCCTAGGACAGTGGGGTATGTATGGTAATGAGCTGGATTATTGATTAACTGCTGCTGTATTTCTGGGTGGTGAGCTACTTTATGATAAAGCACACATGGTGAAGAGTCTTTGGGATCAAGCAACAGTACAACAGAATCAACAGAGCATCCATATCTGGATGGAATGACCCAGCTGGAAATGAGTGGAGGGTCTGGAAAAACTTTTACCTGCAGGGGAAAGGCACACTTTTCATCAGGTTGCAACTGCCACCATCAGTAGGGAACTGTTTGTTGGCTACTGAGAAAGGGGTCATGGGAGGTATGGAAAGGTCAGTTCACATCAATTCTTGATTCAGTCATCCATCTGTTCATTCAATCATTCAGCCATGCATTCACTCCTTAAATAGGGGTGATAATCCCAGTGCGTGCAGCATTCTACCTAAGCTGGTATTTAAAAAATTGAGTTTTGCATCCTTTTTATATGACAGTTTGAGGTTTTGAACAATGGATCAACATCATGGCACATGGGTAGTAACCCATAAGTGCTCCGTTCTTCTTCTAACTCAAGTCTAAGTCCAAAGAAGCTCAGCAAAGTGCACAGGCTCTGTAGCACCGGCGAGGATCCTGAAATACTTTGGGAAGATTTTTAACTCCAAATTTTGCCTGGGCAGCATCGTTAGACTACTCTTTTCCAACTGCCTAGAGTTTTTTAGGTGCGCAAACAATGCGCACTGGTGTCCGATCTCACTACCCAGAGACCAGGGAGAATTACTAGATGTCCAAGTCTGCGTGAAGAAATCCCAGCCCTTTCCAAGGATTAAACCCAGACCTCTAGCACTTGAGGCAGACACCATGCATCGAGACCACGCAGCCCCCTTTACAGGACATTGCAGAACCAACCCCAGCTTTTTTTTCCTGTTGTGATTTTTCCAGGCAAATTTTATGTTCAGCAGTTTGCATTGCTATCTCAATGGTCAGCTCTCAGTACCAATGTCAAAACCAATGCAAGACAAATCGTCCACAGTTGGGATCGAGCCCGGCACCCTAGCATTACAAAGCGTGTTCATAACACCTTAGCCACAGACGCGGATGAGCAAAAATTGAATGTTACAAAAAGCAGTAACAGCAGAAATCGAATGTATAAATAAGAACAGAATCAATGCCGTCGATTTAGTTTGAGGCAAGTGATCACAACAGTCATGAGTACTCTCTTTATTGTTATCTAAAAAAAATAACCACCAACAAGATTGGCACCACAGAGAGCAATACTATACAGATACAATGGTAAGAGAGCCAGAGGTCAACCATGCAGAAAACTGTTGTATTATGTGTAGAGTGGCAAGCATCACTTGACTCCAACCTCATACTAGACTGTTGTATTACGTGTAGAGTGGCATGCATCACTTGACTCCAACCTCATACTAGACTGTTGTATTAAGTGTAGAGTGGCATGCATCACTTGACTCCAACCTCATACTAGACTGTTGTATTACGTGTAGAGTGGCATGCATCACTTGACTCCAACCTCATACTAGACTGTTGTAATACGTGTAGAGTGGCATGCATCACTTGACTCCAACCTCCTACTAGACTGTTGTATTATGTGTAGAGTGGCATACATCACTTGACTCCAACCTCATACTAGACTGCATGTTATTGTGTAACCGCAGTTTTGTACAGCTGAACTGACATAATATAACAGTTTTGTACAGTTGAACTGACATAATATAACAGTTTTGTACAGTTGAACTGACATAATATAACAGTCTTGTACAGTTGAACTGACATAATATAACAGTTTTGTACAGTTGAACTGACATAACAGTTTTGTACACTTGAACTGACATAATATAACAGTTTTGTACAGTTGAACAGGGTTTATGGTACGTGCTCCTGTTTGATTATCATCCTTGAGGGTTAATCCTACAGGCAACAATCCTGGAGAGGAACACCACGTACTTGACCAGCATGGCCAGGTTATTACTTTATGCCTCAGGACAGGAAAGAACAAACTTAACAAGCATATGCAAAGGCGTCGGCTAACTAGTTCACCATTCTGCCCTTGTGTGCTGTGTGTGCAAACTATAGAACATGTCCTGCAAGAATGTCCCTTGTACAGCCCTTTAAAAGGGGAATACCGGCCTACTGAGTCAACAACGCTGCACTGGAACTAAAAACTCCTAAAAACAGTCAAGTTTATCACAAAAACTTGTCTGTCAGTGTTAATCAGAAAGCAAACTCTAGAAGATGAAGAAGGAGGTGAAAAATGGCCACCACTGCATCCCTTGATAGCAAAGTACACTGCAGTAATACCTGGTACAGCTTTTAGGTATTCCAGTAATCACAGTTCTTCCTTCTTAGCAAACGGGTCACCTCCATAGTTGCTCCACTCTTGTGCCAATGAAAACAACACAGAATGTCCATCACCATCCCTTGTGAAATGCAGCCTTAGCAAAGTCAGTATCATAAATATGCATTTAAAGGCAGCCATGAGAAGTGCCGACACAAACAGTTTGATTCTAGACATACAGTTAATTGTCGATGGAAGCAGCACTTTCAACACACAATTAATTGCATAAGGTACCACTTGTTCTCTGGCAACAGGCCACTTGCCATTTTCTGAATCTGCAGTTCACAATACAAATCACAATGAGCTGGTCAAAAAACATCCCAAATGAAATCTGCCGCTCACAGTGTCATACCATGCACTTAACTCAGTACCCACTGCAACTTAGCAAGCATGCCATAAAAAGTGACTAAATTAAAAGTTGCTGAAATCAAATTACTAAAAACAGGAGAGAAAGAAAATACTGCCACAGAAGGAAGTAATTCTGAAACAGGGCTTTGAAAGCACATTAGTTTTGGGAGGATGGGGGTGTTCAGCTTTTAGAACAGCTAAAATATTGCAAATAGCCACAGATAAAAGTGTATGGAGACTGACGAATAAGAGCTGTGTAGTGCTGGGCCAAGAAAATTGTAATCACATACAAAGAATGAGCATTTTTGAAGAGATTTCATTCATATATAGCTGTTTAGTCCTGGCCAATCATTATTATACATAAAATCACACTGTCTCCCAAATGAATTTAGTCTAGGCCATTTTTTTCTGTGCATGCAAACTGGCAGTCAGTCACACTGTCTCTGGAACATTAATGTGTAGTTAAGAATAATGTAGTCCTGGCCACTCTGTATTGAACACGTCTGATTCTGTTTCTGCGAAAAATCATCAGTATATTAATTATATAATGCTAAATGATGTATTTTTCATTAACTTCTTCTTCTAATTCTACCATTTACATGGTTGTTGAATGTTGTATGTTGAATTAAGAATCAACATCACAGCACTCGGGACACTCCCGTAAGCGCTCCATCCCCATCTTCAGCAGCAAGTGAAGAGTTAAAATTCTGATAGTACCAGTAACAGTCTGATTGTATATTCGTCTTGCCCCTCCCCTGAGTGTCGAATGTTGGCCAGATCCCCTTGTAACTCCTCGCAGTTCATTTCTCCTCAGACCGTAATGATCTGGTACATGGTAGTACACTGCAATAATACCTGGTACAACTCTTTTATATATATATATTCTTCTTCTTCTTTTTCTTTGTATTCACCGGCTGTGAACTCGGGCAGAAATCTATCGTTGTTCACCCACTTCTGGACTTTAGTCTTGTTTCAGAACTTGAATTTTGCACATACACATCTGTTTAAAAGATCCAGCTTATTTATACTCACACAGTCTCTTAGTTACTTGTCTCTCAGGTAGACTAAAGGAAACACATCTAATTTATCATCTTTTACATCAGGTGGGAGGAGGTGGATGCAGATAATTCCTTTTTTTCCCCACCCACAACGGGACTTAGAACCCACATTTGGATGGTAACTAAACTATTTCAATCCCAAATAATGCAAGACATGAGATCAGTCTCTCTAAATGTGTCCCAAACATTGCATCATGTATCTTCTTACTGTCTGCATTTGGTCAGGCATGCTAAAGAAATCTATATCAGTGACAACTCTGGTTATATTATGTGGTGTGCAGTAGCATCTTCTTTCTCTCTTCCACTGTCTTTAAATTTCTCTTTCTGTATGTGTGTGTGTCTGATATCAATGGAAAAGAGGAATGTGTGCGTGTGCATGTGTGGTCAGACATTTACAACTGAATGAGTTACAGATCAGATGTCAATGTCACCTGACATCTTTTTGTTGAAAAAGTATTGTTGTTTTTGCTATTTTTTTTTTTTAAATAGCAAAAGCAAATGGATGTCGCTTAATACAGCAAAGCCTGGCATATGATATCACCACATCTAGTTTGAGAATGGAGATGGAGGCAGTCACTGCTGCCTTCCGCTGGCTTAAGAATAAGTTGTACACATACAGCCTGATTGTAACAGACTCACAGAGCATGTTGAGAAAGGTGGAGACAGGTATGTTCCGTGCAGTGGCAAGTATCACTTCACATGTACCGGGTAGTTAAGATCCTTTTATTATTTTCTCCAGGTATGCCGGTGTGTTGGGAAACGAGCAGGCAGATAGACCTGGCAGTTCTGCACCACTTGGTGGTGAACTGATGTATGACAAGCTAGATGTTGTGAGGACTTTTTGGGAGTGAGTGAACAGTGTGGAGGCACAAACAGATCATTTTGGTTTGAGAAGAATGTCGCTGCAAGGAGTTACCAGGGGATCTGGCCAATGCTCAACACTCAAAAAATGCAAGACAGAAGTACAGTCAGACAGTTACTCATACAACCGGAATAGGAACTTTTCGCTTGCTGTTGAAGATGGGGTTGGAGCGCTCGTGGGAGTACCCCAGTTCTATGAGGTAGATTTTTAATTTTTGCCTTCTATTGTTTTTGTTACTTTTATAATTATTACTGACTTTTTCTATTTTTAATGACTTGTGTTATTTTTACTGACTTTTGTTATTTTTACTGACTTTTGTTATTTTTACTGACTTTTGTTATTTTTACTGACTTTTGTTATTTTACTTACTTTTGCGTGTGCTGACACTACTGTTTCTTTTGCTTATTTTGTTAGTTTACTTCTGTTTTCATCATTGCTGCTGTTGCTTTAAATGTTGTTGCTGTTGCTTTAAATGTTGTTCTTTTGCTTTAAATGTTGTTCTATTGCTTTAAATGTTGCAGCTGTTGCTTTAAATGTTGCAGCTGTTGCTTTAAATTGCTCAGCTGTTGCTTTAAATGTTGCTGCTGTTGCTTAAAATGTTGCTGCTGTTGCTTTAAATGTTGCTGCTGTTGCTTAAAATGTTGCTGCTTTTGCTTTCAATGTTGCAGCTGTTGCTTTAAATTGCTCAGCCGTTGCTTTAAATGTTGCTGTTGTTGCTTTAAATGTTGCTGCTGTCACTTTAAATGTTGTTCTATAAATGTTGCAGCTGTTGCTTAAATTGTGCAGCTGCTGCTTAAAATGTTGCTGCTGTTGCTTTAAATGTTGCTGCTGTTGCTTTAAATGTTGCTGCTGTTGCTTTAAATGTTGCTGCTGTTGCTTTAAATGTTGCAGCTGTTGCTTTAAACAACCCCCCCCCCCCCCTCTTTGATATCCTGCATCTATCATCATGCTGATCAACCCCTGCCTTTTCTTTGAGACACCCTTATCTCTAAACTATTATGCATTTAATAGGATCAAAGTATTTCAGTCTTTTAGAAACAATACAGGTTCTCCTTGACTGAGTAATAGAAAAATCAAACTTATAAGGGAAATTTATATGTTTTAACACTATTTTAGTTCAAACGAGTTATACAATTTGTGCACAAAACAAACAAATTTCAATTCATGTACGTATAAATGTGGTACATATTGTACAAAAATACATAATATATATGCATCAGATGTGGGAATTTGTATTTTACCTTACCAATATAATTTTATTTGTTTATTTACCATTGTTTTCTTTTTTATATTAATTTTGGTGTGGTCATAAGTGAGAATGGTTATAAATTTCATAGATCATAAATGCAGATGGTTATAAGTCAGATGGGTCATATGTTGAAGAGATGGCGTACTGTTTATGAGCCAGTCCACTTGAATTATTAGATCAGAAAGTTTTCTGTCTTCTTGACCCATGATACAAATTATTATCAGCACTTTGTGGTGAGTACCAGCTCTATTTTCTAGGGAAAACGCAGATGACAATGAATATTAACTCTAAGACATATGAAATACTGTAGCCTCTCCAAATAATCAACCAAAATATATTGAAATTAAATTCAGTTCCATGTATTATTATTTTAAAAATTAATTAATTGTACAGATACTTACCACAGGCTTTCCTGTTAAAGAATAGATAACTCTGAAGTTAAGAATAACTCTGTAATGGTTTCCAATTTTCACTGTCCACATTCCATTAGTGTTCTGTGGGATAGTTTTTCAAATGCAATTAACACATCTGCATGTATTTTGTTGCTAGTTATACCTCAACATTTATCTACACCCAGGGTAGGAGTAGAAAGAATAAACAATATAACCATCATCATATTTCCTATGCACTAACATGGAATATTTTGATTTTTCAAGAACGCCTTTCTTTCACGTCCCCCCCCCTCCCCCCTTAATTGGTGCAGAATTAGTCAGTGTGTCTGCCTCTTCACTTCCCAACACTCCAGCATGACCAGAATATAAGATCCAAATAAAGCTAACTCAGTGGGATCTCTATTGCTTGCTACTCTGCAGGGACCAAACTTGTCTCTACCTCTCTTATCATACTTTGTGAATCACTTACAGTCATGCATGTGTGTGCTGCTGGTTCTCAAGCCAGCGGAAAGCCTCCACCTCCATTCTCAAACTAGATGTTATATTATCATATGCTAGACTCTGTTGCACTAAGCGATGTCCATTCACTTTCACAAGTAACCCCCATGCACTTCTTCTGCCTCTCATCACAGAGCTATCAGTGTAGATAATCACATCATCTGGGTGGCAGTTATGTTGGCAATACCATTATTGCTTTCATCATGGCTTTTTCCCTAGAAAACACAGATGCAGGTACTCATCACAAAGTGTCTGAAAAGGTGCCGGTACTCACCATAAGTATTTGTTACAGTAGCACTGAAAACAAACATGATGCCTTGAAAAAAGCCGGTAATAAGTACCACTGAATATTCTTAGAACAAATATCCTGGCTTGAGTCACTCACTGGCAATGACCATCTTTGACTGAAGTAGCCTGTACCGGCCAATCACATTAATCTGTCATGTCACATGTCAGTCATGTGACAATAACAAAAATAATAAAAATAAAGGCAATAAATGAAAGGAAACTATTGCAGTGGCTTCACCTGTTGAGGCAATCCTCCTATTTCTGTATCATATTGGTCAGACATCGGGCACCTCCACATGAAACTTGAACTACATAGACCAATGTAGCTTAGAGTCAATGTCCTGTAGAAAATAACACAGACCAATGTAGCTTAGAGTCATGTCCTGTAGAAAATAACATAGACCAATGTAGCTTAGAGTCATGTCCTGTAGACAATAACCTGGACCAATGTAGCTTAGAGTCAATGTCCTGTAAAAAATGACACAGACCAATGTAGCTTAGAGTCAATGTCCTGTAGAAAATGACAAGACCAATATAGCTTAGAGTCAATGTCCTGTAGAAAATGACATAGACCAATGTAGCTTAGAGTCAATGTCCTGTAGAAAATGACATAGACCAATGTAGCTTAGAGTCAATGTCCTGTAGAAAATGACACAGACCAATGTAGCTTAGAGTCAATGTCCTGTAGAAAATGACACAGACCAATGTAGCTTAGAGTCAATGTCCTGTAGAAAATGACAAGACCAATGTAGCTTAGAGTCAATGTCCTGTAGAAAATGACACAGACCAATGTAGCTTAGAGTCAATGTCCTATAGAAAATGACACAGACCAATGTAGCTTAGAGTCAATGTCCTGTAGAAAATGACAAGACCAATATAGCTTAGAGTCAATGTCCTGTAGAAAATGACAAGACCAATATAGCTTAGAGTCAATGTCCTGTAGAAAATGACATAGACCAATGTAGCTTAGAGTCAATGTCCTGTAGAAAATGACACAGACCAATGTAGCTTAGAGTCAATGTCCTGTAGAAAATGACACAGACCAATGTAGCTTAGAGTCAATGTCCTGTAGAAAATGACACAGACCAATGTAGCTTAGAGTCAATGTCCTGTAGAAAATGACAAGACCAATGTAGCTTAGAGTCAATGTCCTGTAGAAAATGACACAGACCAATGTAGCTTAGAGTCAATGTCCTGTAGAAAATGACACAGACCAATGTAGCTTAGAGTCAATGTCCTGTAGAAAATAACACAGACCAATGTAGCTTAGAGTCAATGTCCTGTAGAAAATAACACAGACCAATGTAGCTTAGAGTCAATGTCCTGTAGAAAATAACACAGACCAATGTAGCTTAGAGTCAATGTCCTGTAGAAAATGACAAGACCAATATAGCTTAGAGTCAATGTCCTGTAGAAAATGACAAGACCAATATAGCTTAGAGTCAATGTCGTGTAGAAAATGACAAGACCAATGTAGCTTAGAGTCAATGTCCTGTAGAATATGACAAGACCAATGTAGCTAAGAGTCAATGTCCTGTAGAAAATAAGATAGACCAATGCAGCTTAGAGTCATGTCCTGTAGAAAATAACATAGACAAATGTAGCTTAGAGTCAATGTCATGTATAATATAGACCAAGATAGCATCAAGTCTAGGTTCTGTGGAATACAACACATAACATTATTCAGATTAGATTTTCACAGAGAGCAGTAAAATAACAACGTGCCACTATCGAAGTCAGTACGAGCACCAAACTAGAACCTCAAGAGTCTAAATGCAGCTTCTGCGATCTGCAGCTGTGGCATCATCATCATTATCATCATCATCGTCAACATCATCATCATCATTGTCAACATAGTCAATGTCAACAACATCACGATCATAATCATCATAATCATCATCATCACTGTCAACACTATGATCCTCATAACCATCAATTTCATCATCAACATTACCCTCATCATCATTATGGTTATCATCATCATCATCATCATCATCATCATCATCACCATTGTCAACATTGTGCTCCTCATCCTAATCATTGTCAACATCGTCATCATCATTATTGTCAACATCCTCCTCATCATCATCATCAGGTTGTGCCATTATAGTCCCCCAGGCCTCACAATTTACTCTCCACTTCCTTTTCTTCTGTACACTTGTTTCAATAACAAACCAATCCAGGTCCAGTTTCTTTGGCATCTCACATCAACGTTCTTCTGAGTGTTTCGTTCGGGCATCCTTGTCTCCTCAGTCTTTTTGTTTTGTTTCCCATTTCAGTGCCTGTCTGGTGCTTTTCTGTCAGCTTCTCTTCAGGATGTACCCAATATCCCATCATCATCTGTTTCTTGCAACTGTTGATACAAGTGGTTGTCCTGACAATTCTCTTGTTTCTTCACCTTTCTGGAATTCATTCTTTCTAGAGTAAGCCCAGACTGGAGCACCACATATTGGCTCCCCATTTATGGCAGCCTCCTGGGATGAGAGGAAATGATTATGTTCTACCCTTGCCTTCTCTTACAGGCTGACCAGCATTAGGTGGCTGCTCAGGACTGATCTTATGGGAGGAACCACCTGTGGACTAGGAAACAAAAATGACCACACAACAATTAGAATGCAATGTCCACACAACAATTATAATGCAATGTCCGCACAACAATTGGAATATAATGTCCACACACAAATTAGAATGCAATGTCCACACAACAATTAGAATGCAATGTCCACACAACAATTAGAATGCAATGTCCACACAACAATTAGAATGCAATGTCCATACAACAATTAGAATGCAATGTCCACACAACGATTAGAATACAATGTCCACACAACAATTAAAATACAATGTCCACACAACAATAAGAAGACAATGACCACACAACAATTAGAATACAATGTCCACACAACAATTAGAATACAATGTCCACACAACAATTAGAATACAATGTCCACACAACAATTAGAATACAATGTCCACACAACAATTAGAATACAATGTCCACACAACAATTAGAATACAATGTCCACACAACAATTAGAATACAATGTCCACACAACAATTAGAATACAATGTCCACACAACAATTAGAATACAATGTCCACACAACAATTAGAATACAATGTCCACACAACAATTAAAATACAATGTCCACACAACAATAAGAAGACAATGACCACACAACAATTAGAATACAATGTCCACACAACAATTAGAATACAATGTCCACACAGCAATTAGAATACAATGTCCACACAACAATTAGAATACAATGTCCACACAACAATTAGAATACAATGTCCACACAACAATTAGAATACAATGTCCACACAACAATTAGAATACAATGTCCACACAACAATTAGAATACAATGTCCACACAACAATTAAAATACAATGTCCACACAACAATAAGAATACAATGTCCACACAACAATTAGAATACAATGTCCACACAACAATTAGAATACAATGTCCACACAACAATTAGAATACAATGTCCACACAACAATTAGAATGCCATGTCCATGCAACAATTATAATACAATGTCCACACAAAAATTAGAATACAATGTCCACACAACAATTAGAATGCAATGTCCACAAAACAATTAAAATGCAATGTCCAATGATACTAACCAGGTAGGCTAACCCTAATAAAAAATGCTGGCAAAAGTCAGATGTGTCGGCCGAAAGTCACAGATGTTGTAGCTTTTTTGTCAACAGGCACAATGCATTTAATGCTTAGATGAACAAGTAAGAACTAAAGTAATTTTTCCAAACTAATGTTCATCAGTTTCCTTAGGCATCAGACCTGATTGTTTGTTGTTCTAGTTCTTTGAGCAGAAACTGGCTTGCTTGGCAGATTGCAGGTCAAGGACAAAACAGTGACCTAGATATGTAAAATAGTAATGACATCTATTTCCTAAGAAAAGCCTTCTGTTATTTTTCTTCTCCATTCTTCGGAAGATGTAAATATATTGTGCCTGTACTTGCCACTCTTCATAGTGCATACTGGTCTCTACCTTTCGCACCATGCTCTGTGAATAGGTTACAGCTGATTCTCAAGCCAGAAAAATGCTGCAGTGACTGCCTCCACCTCCATTCTCAAACTAGTTGATGTGGTGTCATATGCCAGGCTTTGTTGCACTAAGCGACATCCATTCACTTTTGCTAAGAACATCCATGAGCTTCATCTGCCTCTCAATACAGAGTCATCCGTAATCACAGGCAACAGTAATCACATCACCTGGGTGAGATTTGTCATGAATCATTTCTGAAACTTCTGATTCTGCGACACCCGCTGGCCAGTCCCTGCACTCACAGCTCAGTGTGATCAGAACCCAACACAAGTCTGACTTCTGCTGGGACATTCTGACCCACTCCTCACCTTGTGCAATGTTATCAAACCTACACACATGTCTAGTTATGTCTTCAGCTTGCGCCATCTAAAACTTTCCTCTTTTCAGCTCTGTCTAGGGTTTCATGCAAGAGGTGTTTTTTTTATCTGCAGCTAACCTGAGATTTGACTTAGCTTGCAGTCCAAAGAGATGGGAAAAACTTGTGGCCATACTTGTGGAAATTTAAAAAATCAAATTAATATTTTGTACTGCAAGAGTTGGTAAAGTACTGGTTGTCAGGGACTTTGTCACTTACGAGAATTTTAAAGTCACCTCGCCAAATCCAAATGATGAATTGTACGGCAGGAAGTAAGTGAAATTGCTACCCATGCACATGTAACAGAATTCATCAGTGATTGTATAGTTGAGCTCCAGGATCTGAACCGTAGGCTTCAGTGAACTTTCTAAATTAGAAAACAAATTTTATACATTTGAGTATGTTAAAAATATTAAGCCATTTTACTGTGGTGACTAAATCAGTCGTTGGGGGTTCAATGACACTTTCACAGTGGTCACCTAAGACCATGAGAAAACATGTTATGAAGTAGCAACAAAAATAATTTTATGGTTGGGGGACACCACAACATGAGGTACTGTATTTAAGTGTTCTGGCATTAGCATCACTGAGAACCACTAGACAAGATGATCATCCGCTGGCTTGAAGGTTTTAGGTTCAAATCCCCACTGGATAGATTTAGAAGAAAACCTTGACATTGTGTCCCAGGTTGATCCAGTCTAATAACATATAAATGGTACCAGGAAATGTCCTGGGTGGTAAAGACTGCCCATAAAGTGCTGACTGAACAATAAGAATATGACACTAACATCATATACCTAATGTTACACTGACACGAAAAATGGCTGTTTACCGACTTTGAAAAATATGTTTCCTTGATTAAAATCTGGAAGCTGCCCAGGTAAAGTGGTTGTCCGGTGATCCTGGGTTTTTCTTCTTCATGTTCACTGGCTGAACAATCCAGCAGGAAGTTCCAATTATTTGTCCCCTTCTTGACTTTAGTTTTGTTCTTTTTTTTTTTTTTTTTATCGAACACCGGCTGTGAATTCCAGTGGAAGGTCAGGTAATCGTCCGCTTGGACTTTTGGCTTTCACCTGGACCTGATTTTTGCGTGTACAACCGTTTTTTTATTTCCCTGCCTCATGGGCAGCTGTACGCCGACTTCGAAGGAAGACGTCAGGCCTATTTCTAGGGTGACTGTGGCCATTGTTTTGTGTGGGTCGAGACATTGCCTGATTTGTGTGGTGTCCACTTCGTCTCCTTTGCCGCAGGTATTGCCCCCAGAGTACCCCTTTGGGTCGGCCCCCTGTGGAACAGTTAGCCCTCAAGGGAAGGCAGGGGCAGATCTTGGGCATTCCCCGCCATCCAAGGAGGCATCCATGTATGCAGAGCCGACACATGGCGCTCTGTTTCTGGGCTCACCCAAGGAATCGTCACGTCCTGCACAAGCCTGCTTAACCTCACAACCGTATCAGGCCTCCCGCTCGACAGGGGCTGCGCCCTCTGGGGGTCAGCGGTGAGCATCCCTCGGGTTTTGGACTTTTGTAACCACACAGATAGGTACATTCTTTTTTTTTTTTTCCTTCGCACGTTAGATTTCTTTGACGAGCCGTTAGCCCGACAGATTTTACATCCTGCATCAGGCATATCGTTATCAGTTTTGTCCCAACACTCGGGCGAGTGGTGTCTTTGGGTGTGGATATTCGGTCTTTTTCAGTTCAATTCAAATTTTGAGGTCAGATTTTGATCCGTATGATCTAGTTTTGTCGGAAATTTAGGCTTAGCCATCCGATCGATGGATGGTTGCTGTTGTGGTGTACCACAGCGCGGTGACGACGACACTGAGGGTTTACCAAGGACATGGATGGCCAGCCTATGGATAGTTGCTGTTGTGGTGTACCCCAGCGCGGTGAAGACGACACTGAGGGTTAACCAAGGATGTACATGAATGGCCAGCCTAGGGATGGTTGCTGTTGTGGTGTACCCCAGCGCGGTGACGACGACACTGAGGGTTAACCGAGGATGTACATGAATGGCCAGCCCATGGATGGTTTCTGTTGTGGTGTACCCCAGCGCGGTGACGACGACACTGAGGGTTAACAGAGGATGTGCAGTGAACAATGTTCTCTTTATTCCGCAGTCTTTTAACCAAGGGTTGTAATTTTGGCTGTACGTTTGGCAGACCTACTCATGTTCCTAATGAGTTTTGTTAACAATTTTTTCACCCAAGCGTTTGGGGGCGGGCTGATGAGAGCCACAAGGACACATCACCTCTGGGGGCCGCCAAACTCCGAGATCCCCTGGCAGCTCTGTTAATGCTCATTTGAGACATTATCCGTGGCGCACGACGAGGACGTGCTGCCGGGGTCTTGCGTGAGGTTCCGTTCAACCAGGATATTAAAGGACTGGCGCCCGAGTGACGTACGGAGTATCTCCTTATACACATCATTTTGGACTTAACTTCCCCTCACGCCTGTGACATAAATCACCGCGCCACAGTTTTGTTCTAAAACTTGAGTTCTGCATGTACATCTGTTTTACAGAGCTGGCTTGTTTGTAAGTAGACTGTTGGTTTCTCCTCTCTCAGAAAGATGCACTCTGACTTTACAAGAAACACTCCTAATTAGTCAATTTTTATGGCCTGCTTGTTGGAGTGGCAGAGGGTCCACTACCGCCCCCCCCCCCCCCCCCCCCCCCAGCCCCAAATAGGTTTCAAGAAACCACACATGGAATCCTGGGTTAAATTCTCACTTGAGGTGAGGTTTATTGACAACCACATGACAACAGTTAACCAAGGCTCACAGAATGGGTGACAGAAATTCTTTTGGGGAAGATGACATGACCTAGCTAGCATCACACCAACTGTAGCTTGAGCACAAAACTATAAGCCAGAAATACTTAACTGAAATTGCAGAACTGACACGGAAAGAAGTTCTCTACTTTGAGTGAACATTTAAAAAATACTGGAATGGGTTATGGTGAGCGTATTGTTAACCAGTTATGTAATCAAAATCAACATCATTGCACACTGGGCATTCCCATGCATGCTCTGTCCCCCCCTGGAGCAGCCACTCCAAGGTACCTCTGTGGATTAGACCAAAGTGTTTAAAGATTCAATTTCAACTACATTCTGTTTTTTTTTTTCTTCAAAGTGTGCTGTTCTGATTCTTTGACTTCCCCAGATACTGATAATAATAATAATAATAATAATAAGGAAGATAATGATGATGATGAAGATATGATGAAGATGAAGATTATGGGGTGGTTATGATGATGATGATGATGACAATGCAAGAAAGAACAAGTTCACCTGCATCTCTGCGCCTGCGATAGAGATAATTAGGGCTTAAATCATCATTAGGGCCTTCTTTTTTGAGAACAGTGTATTCTGAAGATCTTTCTGCAGTGCTGCCATCAACATTCGAGTTCACATCTTCTACATGAGCATTGCCTCCCAACAAATTGATCACCACCGTTTCCACGGTTGGACTCTGCGTCAGCTGCTGAATAAAAAGACACACATTTTTTATTGGTAGTCAATTAAACAAATGAAAAATAGTAAATTCAGTGACCCTGTTCCGTGCCTTAAGGTGTACTGGGCATATAAGGTTAGCCCTATATTTTATAGACTAACTGGCACTCGGGGGTGATGTGGTCAACATCACACCACCTTTACTTCCCAGGATTCTACTTAATACCAGTTTTTAAGGCTGGGTCCATCTGGGAGTCAAGGTCATTTAAAAAACAAAAAGTCTGGCTGCATGAACAACAACCAATACAGCAGTGGTTAAACTTTCTTACCTTTGTTTGCAAGAAAGTTTCACAGGAAGCTTCAAGCAGTTAAGAAACTGAGTTGTATTATTCTGTTACACTCACATTTTTTTTTTTAAACGTTTAATCCTACATTATTTTGTTTATATCAAACAAAAAGACATTTTTTTTGTTTTCATGAGCAGTTTGTTAAAAATGTAATTAATAGGGTAACACAATCATTATAGATGTTATAAATGTAATTAATAGGGTAACACAATCATTAAAGATTAAGAACACAATTTGACCCAGATGTATCTCCATACTTTTTATTTATCCAAATTCTTGGTAGCAGGGCTTGGGATGTTTCTTTTTGTCCTCCTCTTTTCAATCACATTTTTCTTAAAGTGTAAGGGGAGGGGGGGGGGGGTGTCGGGGTCAAGTCTAGCCATATATTTCGAATAGAGGATTGTAAGGGGGGAAGAGGGGGGGGCACATAAATAAAAGTTGAAAACCACTGCTGCAGAGGATATGTAACTAACTTGTCCTGCCCCAACAACAAACAACTGACTTACTGAAGTGTTCTGAACTTGTGACCTGACATCTTCTTCTTCATCCGGATCTTCTATTTCCTCACCCTCTAGTACAGAGTTATTATTATCCTCAGTATTGTCTGAAAAAGGAGATTTATCATCAGAGCTGCAATGATTAAGTTCTCCAGTTCACTGGTTACCAGGAATTAAACATTAAACCTGCACATTTCCCCCATAGGTTGCAGGGATCTATTCTGGGGGGGGGGGGGGGGGGGGATAGAAACATAGACACACTGCCCTTCAAATGGAGTGCATCTGCCTGAAAAGCAAGGAACTAACAGTTCTGCAAATAAATAAACCAGATCTGTTAAACAGATGTGCACATAAAAGACAAGTTCTGGAGCCAGACCAAAGTGCACAGAGGGATAAACAACCAGAACTTTCTGCCCGAGTGACAGAGTAGCGACCAGTAACCTGTGTGACAGAGTAGCGACCAGTAACCTGTGTGACAGAGTAGTGACCAGTAACCTGTGTGACAGAGTAGCGACCAGTAACCTGTGTGACAGAGTAGCGACCAGTAACCTGTGTGACAGAGTAGCGACCAGTAACCTGTGTGACAGAGTAGCGACCAGTAACCTGTGTGACAGAGTAGTGACCAGTAACCTGTGTGACAGAGTAGCTACCAGTAACCTGTGTGACAGAGTAGTGACCAGTAACCTGTGTGACAGAGTAGTGACCAGTAACCTGTGTGACAGAGTAGCTACCAGTAACCTGTGTGACAGAGTAGCTACCAGTAACCTGTGTGACAGAGTAGCGACCAGTAACCTGTGTGACAGAGTAGCGACCAGTAACCTGTGTGACAGAGTAGCTACCAGTAACCTGTGTGACAGAGTAATGACCAGTAACCTGTGTGACAGAGTAGTGACCAGTAACCTGTGTGACATAGTAGCTACCAGTAACCTGTGTGACAGAGTAATGACCAGTAACCTGTGTGACAGAGTAGCTACCAGTAACCTGTGTGACAGAGTAGCTACCAGTAACCTGTGTGACATAGTAATGACCAGTAACCTGTGTGACAGAGTAGCGACCAGTAACCTGTGTGACA